TTGCCACCACTATTTTTTTTGTAGTATGGTCATGTATTTCAAGTATTTATTAGAGGGCAACAACAACCTTTTTTTGTAGTGTCTTGCTGTGGTTTGATCTAAACATGGAAAATAAAGGATAATACAATATAGAATTTTGGATATAACCATGCCATCTCATAATGCTAAGAGGTTTAGGCATACTGTCTTTGTTTGCACATATACGCCTTGATAAATGACAGTTCCTAGAAATTTTACTGACGTTCACAGGGAATCTTATTTCCTCAAAAAAAAAAATCCACCATAAGTGCATATTATTTTAGAAAATCATTTTTCGTTATTGAGCTGAAAATGATAATTCTAGTTTTTTTAACATCAAGGACCATTGTGCTTTGCATAATCTGAAGTCGCGTTTATATCATTATTTCAAAGGAAATTTAAACTTGACTTACAAAGTCCTACATATTTTAAATTTACCATCAAAAGACTAAATTTTATCAAAAGATTTAGAAAAGTCAAGGAGTAACAGGTCCTAGCATCACCTTTGTCTGCAGCGGTGATGATATAATCAGTTACAGACGTGTGTGGTTGATCTCTGAATCCAGTTTGTTGATCAGGAATTAAATGATTTTCAGACAAATAATTTTTAGCGGAGATCAAATTATTTTTTTAGAACTTTCGATAGTACAGGAAGCAAACTGATTGGTCTTAGGTCACTGTATGACTGGTAGATATGAAAATTATCGGTACAGGAATGATCAATGACGCTTTACATGAATTTAGAAAATTTTTGTTTATTGATAAATGATTCAGGAATGTTCAATATGAGATTTGGCCGTTGGAAAACCTAATCTAAACATTTGGCTGTAATACCATCGCTTCCACTGCGTTTGACTAAATAGATTTCAGGGAAGTTCAGCCTTCCTCTTCGGTTGTGGAAGTAAATAAGAAATTTAGGTCATTTCTTGCTTTGCTTCTATTGAAAAACTCAATATATTCTTTGATATTCACAAATATAGGATCTAGTAGAGTTTCTGACTCCTAAGTTATTGTACTGGGTTCTGTATTCAATCGATCCAGGTTCTATGAATTGAACTGGATTGTTGTTTAAATTAAATGAGTTCTAATAATCCCTTCAGCAACAGTATAACTTTAAAGCTGCGTTTTTCTAATGAGACAGTGTCAGATGCGTTTTCTATTTCAAAAACTTATAAATATCCCAGAGACTGAAGAAGGGCTTGTGCAACATAGATAAAGCTATTTGGATAAGAAAAGCATAAGCCTCTCAACACATATTATTGACACGTAATAAAGTTATTTCCGATCTACGATAGTCGTCCTGTATACGGAGGATCGTATGTTGATGAATAGATGGTTTGGTATCATTATATCTACTGATATTGTGAAACCAATACAAACACTAGTTTTTGTTTGTAACAAGAGCAGTAAAGTCGTCAGCCACAAATTTGTGTACACGCCTAAATTACTCTTACAGAGTCACTATCAGAATTGCTATCAGTCAGAACCCAGAACCATCTTTTTTCTCTGTATCATTGAAACATCCATTGCTTTCATCATAAACCGATCTCCGTTTGGCGCCACTCTTGGAACTCATGTTACAGCTTCCTTGGCGTCAAAATGTGTGGGACATCCTGGTTATTCAAAAACGCCACTTAGAAATTATAGCGACATCTATCAGCGAGCTGTCAGAAAATCAACTTTGAGCATAGATACCTGCTGCTTCAAGACGGAAATGTGTTTTTTTTGTTCACACGTGGCTTAGGTACCTTATCACTCCAAGCCCTTCAATTGAAAAATGCTAAGCACTGAAATAGTTAATCATTGTTTTTGTGCTGGAGTTCCTGATGGAGCAATTGCTACGTTTTTAAGCGTTCTCGTGCCTCTCGACCTATTATATGCCAATGATGTCGGTCCGAGTGCTGGCAGCCGTTCCGATCGAAATTCCTTATTACATTATGTGATAATGAAGGCATTTTTAGTAGAGAACAAGCCCTGTAGACTTGTTGCTGATATACTTACATATTGTGCGTACGCTCTGATAAAAAAACCGGTCTCTTGGTCGCGGTCGCTGTGGTATGAATTCATTGCACTAAATTGAATGCAAAACCGCATAGGCTGGATATTTATTCGATGAAGATTTACGATTGAATTGTTCACAGTTAGAAATAAGAGACTAAATCCTATTCGGTATTTTGAGGCTACAGCCAAGATTGGTTGGTTCCAAAAAATTGATAAACAGAAATGCTAAGTGATAGCCAGAGTCAGAGCTTACTTGGTGTGGAAAATACGATTCGCTTAGTTTCAAAATTCACGAGCATTCAAGTATCTTGATTTGTGCCCAAGTATGCAAAGTTTGTTCTTAATTTTTTTTCATTTTCGTAACCAGGAACCTTTTCATTTTTTGGGACACTGGTAAACTTGTGTAAAATTTGATCTCCGTGGAATGTGCTAGAGTTTAGCTGCTACGTGGTCGCTTTTTCGATTCTTAACATCAAATGAAAATCAGATATTACGCGGTAGAACATTCGTCTAATGCGGGTCCCACACGATGCTTCCAACGTTGTGTACAACGTTGTTTACAACGTTCGACACCCCACTATTAGCAAGTGTGTCTCCTACACGATGGAATGAACTTTTTAGTCTCGGACGTTCGACGAATGGTGGCGCCAACATCTATTATCGGTGTCTGTGTCGCGCTTGAGCCTTTACAACTGCAGGAAAAATTATACAAAATGAACGATGAAACAATTTTTTCGAGCGCCAAAAAATAATTTCAGATCTGTCTTCAGCGACCAAAACTTAGAAGCCTTTTCGTCATTTTCATAGTAATAACCTAGGGTAAGAATTTCATCAAAATCCTGGTAGTATTTTCAGAGTTATCATTTATTTAATCGTTTTCGTTAGTTATGAAATGCAAGTCAATATATTTCTCAACTAGTCTTGCAGCACTCGCCTGCGAAACGTATAAAATACATATTAGCAATATGAAAAAAGTTTTGTTATGACAACCTATCCTTTGTATGTATACTAATTTAATTCATTCTCCTCAAAAGTTACGGAACATACATTATTATAAATAGGTAGATATTCAAATCAAAATACTTCCCACATACCACCACTTTAGCACAATCACAGCAAACAAATAAATAATGTTTATGGGCGCTACTGGTTCTAACCTAAAACCACCAAACGCATGACACCTCGTGTGAAAGTGTCTTTGGCGCGGGTCAAATTTAGCGACAAGAGCCCGAACCTGCCATGTGGCGAACGTTGGACACATGCAATGAGTCAGTGCTCTTCTACACGGTGTGGCGAATGGCCATGCGTCCAACGTTGTAAGGCATTCGCCACATCGTGTGGGACCGGTTTAAGAAAAGAATGTAGTCATGTATGTTGACTCTGCACTTTCTAGGCAACGCTGTCATCAGTTCATGAAGCATTACGTTCAGCACAAGTTGAGTCCTCTGAGAAAAAAATTAAGTCACGATCATGTACAATAGGGAAATTGAACGGATCATGTGCCCTGCCCTATTGATAGTTGCTGTCAATTCGGCAACGTTGTCCATATCATCAGACGTAGCAACGCCCACTATTCTTAATTTTAAAGACAAATAAATCTATAGGCACACAAATGGATGTCAAAAATTACAAAGCCGGTACTTTTCAAGCTATAGATGGGCCAAGGATAAGCGGATAGATCGACAGACCGAAGTAACGAGGTACCGACGGACTGCCAGAGCAACAGACCGTCAGACTAACGGAAATAAGACACGTTTTGTCGTGACGTGCCCGTCATATAACATCAAAAAAAATGTAGTTTCTCATTTTTGAAAAATGAAGGTATATAACAACAACACCCCCTGAAGTGCTTTGTAATTTTGTTAATGGTTGATGAATATTCAGGAACATTGGTAGCACTGAAATTTTCGTTTCTTCATGTTGCTTTTCGGGCTCGAAACTGGAGTATTTTGCATTGTTTCGAATACTAAATCGCTTAGGTCTCAAAAACTATCAACTTTAGCAAGTTATGTAGCACCTTTTTTGTTCAAAATGGCGTAAAGACACTTTAACTCGAGCGAAGAAACAATGCTTGGAAACTGTGTGAAATAATTTGTTCAAACATTTGATGCAATTTGGGCCTCGAAACAGATTCGTTAAAAGGGGGTCTTTGTGAATAAGATTAGGCAAAAAATCCGAATAAGAATATTTTTACGAAGTTACTACCTGGACTATTACCGATATCCTCTTCGAAGATCGTAACTTTTTCTCTATTTCGAACTTATCTCCATACTCTCGTATCTTGCGCTGTGCCATGTTTAAGTTTTCTTCACGCAATCTCAGCATGTTAAAGGACCTTTCAGACTATAGTAGCATCCTGTATACGAATGTGTAAATGAAGGAAAAACAAACAATGTGCCACTTGGAAGACAGATATTGTCAAAGGTGTCAATTAAGCTTGGAAAAAGTCTACATTGGGACCGGAAGGTCATACATTAAAGGGAAATGTTTAACGTATATGTGGTTTGATTGAGCTAGACAAACATAGGGAGGCTGAACTATATGTTATTATTATTACTGTACTGATGTTTTCATAGTAATGTATCATATTGTATATACCTGACAACGGTTGTGGAATGTCAAGGTCAGTTAAGAACTAGACGTGGTATCGAGCGGTTGTATATATGGAGAATATATTCGAATAGTGCGATACTCTTGTTTTTCTTACAAAGCAGCGGTGGGATACCTTAAAATCAGTTGAATTTTCCTACATCATGGGGAAAACTAAATTCAAATCGCGGAATAGAAGTGGGAAGCGGAGCCGAAAGGAATCCTCGAGTGAAAGTGACAGTTCGAGTTCGGCCTCTTCCCATAGATCGTCTTCAAGAAAAACTATAAAGAGATTGAGAAAAGAATTAAACGAATTGAGACGGTACCCGGCAATCATTCGTACGGGAGATGAACTCTTAGTGCCGACGTTTGATCCTAATCGGGACGACGTGATGGTGGATAAGTGGCTGGATAAAGTTGACCGTTTGGCAGAGCGCTATCACTGGGATGACGATGCCATTCTACGACTGATTTCTGGAAGACTGCGAGGCAATGCCCGTCAGTGGTACGAAGAAAATGTGGACTACGACTCCAGTTGGGATGAAATTAAAAGATCAATCAAACTTTCGTAAGTCCGTCCCATTTTCTAAATTATTCAAAGATGCCGCTAACTACGACGCAGCACCAGGGCAAAATTTAGGCGATTATTGTTTCAAAAAACTGTCCAAATTGAGAGCACTCAATATACAAATACCTGATCCATATTTGATTGATGCAGTGATTGGTGGTATCAGGGATGAAAACGTAGCAAGAACGGTCAGGGCTGCACAACATACGGACGCAAACGCTCTATATGCTTACTTAAACACTGTAGGCGAAATGCCTCAAGAAAAAAAAAGTCCTCATCTTAATAGTGGAAATTTTCAGCCGTCAACGTCGTTCAGATCTGGTTATGGCAATCGTAATAAAAAGGAAGTCAATAAGCCTTCAGGCTCGCGCCCAACATGTTTTAATTGCGGTATTCCGGGCCATATTTCATCCAGTTGCAGAAAGCCACGCGTGGAATGTACCAACTGTAAAAGATTGGGACATCTTAAAGAAAAGTGCCCTTTTCCGCGTAAGGAAGTGCATCAAGTTGAAGCACTAACGAGTGTGGGTTCTAATATTTTTTTGCAAAATGCCCGAATTTGCGGAAAGAAAACAAACTGTTTAATAGACTCTGGCAGTTCTAACACACTCATAAAAGAATCACTCGTTAGAAAACTTGGCCTTCTTCGTACGGATTCGAAGGATATGACTTTGTACAGTTTTATGGGTACCTTTGTGAACAGTACATCGTTTTGCAAGATCACCGCTAGTATACAGGGAGTTTCAGCAGAAGTGCGTGCCATAATTGTTCCGGACAAATACCTGAAATTTGATTTATTAATCGGGAGAGATTTTATTAACCAAGAACACGTGGTTATGACTAAACGTGAGAACCGATTAATTTTATATAGGTTGCCTCCCACCGAAAACCTTTTTGTGAACTTGATAGAAGTTTTCGACAATGGCTTGGATCTCAATAATATACAGATAGGTGCTATTTCGGTAGCCGATAAGAAGGCCTGCATTTCTTTGTTGCATCATTTTTCGGACTGCATCTCATCTTCTATGAAACATTTAGGAAACACGGATACAGTAGAAATGGAAATAAAATGTTTGGTCGACACGCCAGTTGCGCGTCATCCCTATCGAATGCCCGACATAGAAAAGCAAATTCTTCGAAATATGATTCAGGAACTATTAGATAACGGAATAATTCGTGAATCTAGCTCCCCGTATGCCAGCCCAATTACACTAGTGAAGAAAAAGGATGGGGACTATAGAATGTGCGTCGACTACAGGCAGCTCAACGCGGTCACCATAAGAAATCATAGTGTATTACCGCATATTGAGGATCAAATAGATAAATTAGGAGGATTTAAATATTTCACAAGCTTAGATTTGGCGTCCGGGTTTTATCAAGTCCGTATGGCTGCCAACTCTATTGAAAAAACGGCATTCGTAACCCCTGACGGCCACTACGAGTTTCTACGGATGCCTTTCGGACTTACCAATGCTCCTTCTGTTTTCCAATCATTAATCAACAAAGTACTAGGACCATTAAAAAATGAATACGCCTTTCCATATATCGATGATATCATAATTGCCTCGTCTACGATCGCAGAGGGACTAGAACGGTTGGCAAAAGTATTAATTCAACTTCGTGCACATAACCTCACTTTGAAAATCAGTAAATGTGTATTTCTGGAAACGACAATTGAATACCTTGGAAGAGAAATTAGCGCAGAAGGGGTGAAACCTGGAAAAAGGAAGATCCGGGCAATTTTAGATATGCCATTTCCTCGCAACGTTAAGCAAGTACGTCAATTCCTCGGATTAGCCAGTTATTTCCGGAAATTTATTAAACATTTCTCCATGATTGTCGAGCCTTTAACAAGATTAACCCGTAAAAATGAAATTTGGACCTGGAACGCACCACAAAGGCAGGCATTCCATCAAATTCAAGAGGCATTAACATCACGTCCAATTCTTGCAATATATAACCCCAAATTGAGGATAGAACTTCATACAGATGCGAGCTCTATTGGTTTAGGAGCAATGTTACTTCAATTTGACTCTGAAGGTAAATCACGTGTCGTTTCCTATTTTAGCAAACAAACAACATGTGATCAACGACAATATCACTCATACGAACTCGAGACTATGGCTGTAGTTTACGCTCTAAAATATTTTCGAGTGTATTTGCTGGGGATAAATTTCAAGAGAGTCACCGATTGTAATGCTTTACGGACGACCCTGTCAAAAAAAGATTTAATTCCTCGTATTGGAAGATGGTGGTTGGAGATTCAGGAATACTCTTTCGAAATTGAGTATAGAGCTGGTAAAAAAATGACTCATGTAGACGCCCTCAGTAGAAACCCTATAGCAATCACCAACCTTGAGTTAGAAGTGTTCCAAATAGATTTGACGGAAGCGGATTGGATTACTGCAGCACAATTGCAGGATGAACAGATTTGTAGAATTCGGAACATACTATCGAGTAAAGTAAGGAATAATGAGACGAAGTTATATTTCGATAAATACGAATTGAAAAACGACAAATTGTACAGGAAATTAGACGATGGAACTAAAGCATGGGTTGTTCCATTAGCAGCACGTATGCAAATTTGTCGTTTATGTCACGACGATTCTGGACACCTTGGAGTAGAAAAGGTTTTACAGCGAATAAGAAGAAACTACTGGTTCGCGAAAATGAGAAAATTCGTAACAAAATATGTTAACGCTTGCCTAAACTGTATGTACTATAAGAAGTGCTCCTCAAAACGGCAGTGCAAATTAAATCCTATAGAAAAACATCCAATCCCCTTTCATACGATACACGTAGATCATGTTGGACCATTTGTGACAAGCAAAAGAAAAAATAAGTATATTTTTGTAATTGTTGACGCATTTACCAAATTCACAATAATAGAGCCGGTACATGATCAGAAAAGTAAGCACGTGATCAAGGCTTTAACTGACGTAATCCATTTATTTGGGGTACCTTCAAGAATTATAAGTGATAGAGGTACGGCCTTCACATCTCGAACCTTTAAAATGTTTTGTGACACATATGGAATAAGGCATGTCCTAAATGCAGTCGCCACGCCAAGGGCTAACGGTCAATGTGAACGTTACAACAAAACAATCGTAAGTGCTCTATCAACAACTGCTGCAGGAAAAGATGAGCGAGATTGGGATAGATACGTAAAACAAATACAAAGTGCATTGAATACGAGTTTTAACAAAGGCATCAATTCGACTCCTATGGTGGCCCTGATTGGTTACAATTCTAAACATGCAGCTGAGGCGACAGTTTTGAGTGCAATTCAAAATGAGATAGATAGACTTGACCTAGAGGAGGTTAGGCATAAGATTTCAGGACATATTGAGGATGATCAAAAAAAAACAAAAAGAACGTTACGATAAAAGTCGACGCAATGCCACCCAGTATAACGAGGGTGACTTGGTCAGGGTATTGATAACGAGTATACCATCTACGGGAACTAGCCATAAGCTACATGCAAAATATAAGGGACCTTTTCGAGTTACGAAAAAATTATTCAACGATCGATACGAAGTTGAAGACTCACGAGAAGGCTTCAAACGGAAGTGAACTGTTGTAGCTGCAGACCAGGTCAAGGCATGGGTGACCCTAATAAACGATAATTAGAGGCAAAAGTTGCCCACATGCGAACATCGTATTTTCAAGAAGTTATTTTTGGCAAACGTTGCCTTCAAGCGAACGTCGCTACCACGTTATTTTTGGCAAACGTTGCCTTTAAGCGAACGTCGCTTCCACGTTATTTTTGGCAAACGTTGCCTTCAAGCGAACGTCGCTTCCACGTTATTTTCGGCAAACGTTGCCTTCAAGCGAACGTCGCTTCCACGTTATTTTCGGCAAACGTTGCCTATTAGCGAACGTCGCTTACTTACGAACAGCCTGGCAAACGTTGCTTGTAGATGAACGTCATCATGTGGAAAACATTTGCGCAAATCTTTCCTTACCTGCACTACATTTGATTGGACTGCAATTTTATTTTACCTTTCTCTTTATTGTTATTTTGAGATTATGCATTATGTAAGATCTTGTGAAGTAATTTTTTTTTTATATTTCCTACGTTATTATAAGTCTAGGTTTTGAAGCTTTGAGAATTGAAGCTTTTCTAACGTTTAATTAGTCTGAGGACAGCCTAATGGTCAGGATAGCCGAGTGTTATTATTATTACTGTACTGATGTTTTCATAGTAATGTATCATATTGTATATACCTGACAACGGTTGTGGAATGTCAAGGTCAGTTAAGAACTAGACGTGGTATCGAGCGGTTGTATATATGGAGAATATATTCGAATAGTGCGATACTCTTGTTTTTCTTACATATACTTTAGCACATATCGCAAATATTTCATTTCTTATTTCAAATTGAAAGATTAGAATGAAATTTTCACGAAAATATCATTTTTCCTTTAAGGAACCCTATGCTTGCTATTTTATAGATCCTGAAACTTGCATTTTTGGTGGTAATACTCCAGAATAAAATACTGTTTTATACTTTTTTTTTGCTTTTTGCACAAAAGGATGTTCTAAATCATAAGAATATAACATACACTGTATAGTACTGTGACAATATTCATCGCAATAAAGCAATTTTCAATTATTTTTATGATTAAAATAAACTATTGCCAAGTAACCGTTTCTTATATTTGAGATAAAGATTTTCATCACTACACCATCATCACTATAAATTTTTCCGTTAGTTGCAATGTTGCCAAATCATGAATCGTTTTGATTTGTTAATATTAAAACAAATGCCGTGCAAAAATTAGAATTTGATTTGTCTTGTCAAATTCTTTCGATTTCTAGAATTTTATTACGATTTTCGGAGATTTTCTTTAACGATGTGATTAATTTCATAATATCTATGAACTTTTTTGGGTAAGTACGTGTTCATATAGTAATTGTATCTATAATATAATGTTTTTTTCTTTTCATCGTAGATATGGCTACCTATAATCTTTGTTCCTTGCCCAGAGAGTCGAAGAGGCTGTTGAGTGGGCCAAATAACGGGGATTATTCCCAAGGGCAAAAATGTGCAATCGGCACAGAATTGCGATGAATGTAAGATTTGGAGGTGTGGCCGGCAGATTTTACTGTCCAGAATCTACTTCCTGCCCTACGGTATCTATATCCATTGGCGCTTCGGTTATTTTTTCCAATATTACATTATAATTCATTTGTTTTTAGTATGTTTGGAAGAATTATTGAATAAGATTGATGATTGTATTTTAACCAGTATAAATATGAAAAAAAAACAGGTTCACCAATTCAAATCTACGATTATAATGCTTGTAAAAATTGTAATTGTTGTATTTTATTGACTTTTTTTACAGACTTATGTACGCTTTTAAGAGAGGGTGGAGCTATAGTGACGCTGCCCACAAAATAAATAATCCTGGTGCCGAACAACATCTTTCTCCACCAACCCTTGAATTCTGGTATGCTAGCTATGATATATATATCTATGTTATAAGATACATTTATTAGGTACAAATATTGCCGTGAAGTGGTTGTTGAACATTTTTCAACAATAACACTAAACGATGAGTTGTTGGGTGAACTACTTAGAAAACAAGTCATTTTCATAACACATTTATTTTTCAAATAACTTCATTTTTCATTTACGTATTTCTCCCAACAAAACATACAATTTGGCAGCAATGGACAACATTTCTCTTATCTGTCAAGAAATGAAAGTTGGATTGTTTCTACTTTCAAACATTTATTATAAACGCAAAAACTACAATGTTTTTGAAGAAACTTGAAAAAAATGTTAAGAGGCTTCAAGAAAACATTGGGAACTTTTAACACAACAGCTCTAAACAGTTTACCCAGAACAAACCATCATTTGAGGAATGTATGTGGAACTGTCATTTTAGATTATTATAAGGCTAGTTTTTAACCTTTCTCTTTGAAAAACCAACGATTTTTTACACTTTCACATCTATTTTCCTTAGTACTATACAGATTATGTTATATTCTTACAATTTCGAGCATCCTTTTGTGCAAAACACCAAAAAAACAGCGTATAAAACAGTGTTCTATTCTAGATTATTTCCACCAAAAATGCAACTTTAAGGTTCTATAAAATAGCAAAGAAAAAATGATATTTTCATGAAAGTTACATCCTAATCTTTCATTTTAAAATAAGAAATCAAATATTTGCAATATGCGCTAAAGTATAGTCTTACCCATAGGGGTTTATGGGTGTGAAAACCACAGGATAAGATTTAGATATTGCATCAAGTATACCCAAAATACCAATTCGTTGAAGTTAAACATAACCTCGATCGTACAGAAGAAGTGCTACCGGCTAATAATAAACTTCATTTTCACCATCCTGTGATCTCCAAGCTTGATTTTACCGTCGCGTCGCCGTATTTCTCAGTTCCCGTTTACACATAAACAACCCTGTCTTGACCAGAGGCTGCAGATTCAGCAGATGCAGGTCCAGCAGCAATCTGGCGAAGACGTGCCAACCTCGCGTTAATCACGCGCCGAATCGCAAGAAATCTCATCGTCCACGTCCCTCCATCCTAACCTGACCACTTAAAATACGTTGTCCAGTTAAATGGACATTTAACAAAGATAATGAAGAGCATTCGTGCCAAGGGCCCTCGTTCCGCCGACTTATGTGTCGAACATTCTGTTATCTTATCTGGTTAATGACGCCTTTTTATTAAATGGTGAAACGCAGATGTGGTAAAGATTATTGGTTGATTTCTGATGGAATGCGATTGCGTTTTGGGTCTTTTTCTTCATCAAATTGATTTTTACGTTTTGGTGACGGTCATCTGAATAATTCGAGCGCATTAAATGAATGGTTGGTTGAGGAAGACGTGACAATTTTTTCCCGCTCGAAAGTGGAAAAAATGCTGGTATTTTAGATAAGAAAAATACATTACTTACGAAAGGCCTTCATAGCTAAGGAAACTGTGAACGGGCTTGTTCAGAAAGATTTATTTCTTCAGTCTCACAGACATGTCAACGAGACATTCGGTATACCTCACCCCATACAACAAAAACATGTGTTTATCTTTAATTCCCACGCCACTGGCGAGGAAGTATTGTAATCGCGAGAAATTACGAATATGAGATATGTTTTTTGTATGCCACATCATGTGTATGTACATTGTACATCGCGGAAGACAATGAGCCGTATTCATAAAACAAAGGATATCCTTGTACTTCCAAATTTTGAAGGAAATCCTCCAGATGGTATTTATAATAATTTGAAGTAAATTTTGCTTTTTGAGTATAAGCATATCCTTCAAAGCAGTGACATAAGTAAAAGGATATTCATAATCTTCACCTTATACTTGGCTTAGGAAGCATATCCTTCAAAAATTCTGAGTGTGGTCAGTAGCAGACTCAACTTCGTAACGGAAGGTGATCAAACGATGATGGCGGAAATTGTGAATGTTAGGGATGTTAAAACGTACAAACCTCGTTTACCTTCACTTGGTCGTGAAATTATATCGGTTCGACGAAGCAAATGTACAATGGCTTGCGGACAGACTTTTAGTTGAGAACGAGGAAACTCAAGGAGGAGCACTTTCATGTATTCATAAAATGAAGATATGTCTACGCTCTCTCGGTGACCCTGGATAACAACAAGGTATTGGTCAGGAACTTAGTGTTAGTCAAGCAACGGTATCTCGGACTGTGGATAGAGTTGTGAACAGCATAGTTACACAGTCGAACGAATGGATCAAGTTTCCAACTACCAACCATGAACTGATGGAGGCCAAGCGGATATTTCAAAGCATGTATAAATTTCCGACAGCAATTGGTGTAATTTATTGTACACATATAGGAAACCAAATCGCCATGGAGATGAGTATATCAACCGAAAAGGAAAACCTACTTTACATGTGCAAGCCACTTATGATGCCAGAGAGATGTTCCCGGGTCTTGATGTCAGTTGGCCTGGATCAGTGCATGATTCCAGAATATGTAGAAATTCACAGACTAGACCACAACTAATAAATAAAGCAAATGTTGTACTAATTGGCGATGACGGTTATGGTATTGAGCCATGCCTTATCACTCCCTTCAGAAATCCTACTCCAGGTGCAGAAATAAATCATAATAAACTTTTAAAACAAGAAAGAGTTATAATTGAACGCTGTTTCGGCCAACTGAAACGCCGGTTTCCTATCCTACAGTATGTTTGCCGCGTACAGTTGGAAAATGTGCCGAAAATAATTATTGCTTGTATTGTACTCCATAATGTTGCGAAGAGCTTGGGCGATCCTGACTTTGAATTATTTGAACAAGATCCAGATTAACATGAAGGAAACCATGAGAATGACGAACTTCCTCTCCGCCAACTAGGTCAACAAATAAGAATAAACTTGGGTATCATAATAACTGGTTTTACTGATTAAAGTGTAATTAGAAGTTATGATAAGTTTTATTTTCGTGAACATCATAAGTTACAGGTGGCTTCTGACGCTGCATCATTTCTAATTTCGTTTTATAATACTCTTGTTATAAAATACTTGTATGGTACTGCTGTAATAGCACTAGACGTTGCAGTTCTTTTGTAGTTAACCTCAGTTTCGTATTTCTCTCTTGCTAATTTTCTTTTCACTGCGCTCGGTATATAGTTCACTTTCTTCTTCTTAAACACTACCAACCTGCATGACACCTCTAATTTTCCCTATTGTAGGATTACAGTCACTTTCCATAGCTTGCAGCAACTTTCTTTCCCAATCTAAAAATTTAATTGCTTTATTACCAGGTTCCTTTTTCGGATAGTTTTTTATTCAATCTTGATTTCATGTTGTTGATTTTTTTTAATAAGCCTTTAGTATCTAATGGTTTACCGAATGTTGATTCGTATTTTTTCAACAGCTTCTTCTTTATTTTTGGAACTTGTGACTTTTGCAAAATAATGGGAGCAATGGCAATTTCATCTGCGATAAACTGCAGGTTGTTGCCATTATTTTCTATAGTTTCCTCATCACTTGAGGATGACATGCTTATTAATTTGATAAAAAACTATATCCAGTAAAAATACGGAACGGTCTATGTAAGCTCTGGAGTACAACTGTCAGTGATGCTGAGTGAACGAGCTCCCACGTCAACTACAAGCAAGAACAAGTCAGGACATGTCGCTCAAGATACAAATACCGGTCAACCTTGTACTTCTTCTTGGAGGATATCCTCGCGAGTATAAGGTAATTCATTATGAATATGAAAACAAGGATATGCTTATACTTCTACCTTTTTCTCCGAAGCAAGACCTTATACTTTTACCTTATGCTTCCGAGGATATGCTTCTCTTTTATGAATACGGCTCAATGTCACTCATTTCCGTTGGTATCTTCGTCTGTCTGTTTGTCCGCTAATCCTTGTTCTCGTTATAACTAGGAAAGCTCCTATCGAATTTTGACTAAATTTCGAAACAAGGCTAAACACCAAGAAGCTTTTATGTGTTTGAAAATTGGCCCAATGGCCGCGAAGCGAGAGGCAACAAATTGAAAAAATTACGACCGTTGTACCTTAGTTTTTTGACTTTTCAGAGCACCTTGATAATTTTCAGAAAATGTTTTGTAGGAGTTGAAAATGGGCCGTTGAGCTTTTGTTGCGTTTTGTTGTCGTGAAAGACATCTTATTATTCAGAAATGCGTGATCCAACTTCAGACATATTTCGCACGATACTCACGTTCCGCGCCAATTCTTTATATCGTCATTTCATTACAATTTTATTTGCTGCAGTGTTAGCGTCACAAGTTTCTCTTACTGCTTTATATTATCCCACATACTCTGCAATATACAAACCTCGAGAAAATTTGTTATGCCAAATCTGAAATTTTTCAAGGACTTGATAACATCCCCGTTTCCACAAGATGGACAGGAATAATTAAAACTGCGGTAACCATGTTCTACATGTGCATATGGTGAGATGAAGAAGTATTTTCGAATAGAGAGCTCATTCACATCACGTAAACAAGTGACCCGTGGCCAGTGACCTCACGAAAGCCAAACGATGGGGACACAACACGACGAAGGACGCACCGCACGGCCAGTCTAGCTGTGCGTTATAGCGATAACACCTTGTAGTATAGGTGGTAAGACAAAAAAATTAAGTCGTGTAGATTGACTCTGCACTGCCCACGCAACGCTGTCATCAATTCGTAAAGGATTATGTTCGGCCCCAGTTAGACCCTTTGAGCTACAAACAAAAGTATTAAATAGGCCAAGTCAGCCAAACAGGCCCATATACATTCATTTGAGAACGTTAATGCTAGTTTCTTCCCAGCACCAAGTATAAACCATCTGACAACGCTGACGGACCACACCAGTTAGACACGTAATAAGTACCAGCCACGATACTATAACATAACATTCCTGCCGGCGATGCTGGCAGACGCAAGGCAGGTTTCGATGCATGGATATCGCCGTTGCATCGCATCATCCCCACCGACCGCGTGCCGCGTCTACAAATATTTGTCCAAGTCACAAAGGCAATCTTTGATGTGTGAAATATGTGCTGATAGGTGCGAAAAATTATTGGGGTCGGAAGCGTTTGAATATACTATACTTCCAACATAATGAGATACTCAGCCCCCACCTCCTACAACCACCAACCGTCAATCCAAACAATTTTTTTCTGAAATTGATCAGGAGCCTCTGAAATATCAAAGAACGGAGTATGAGCGACTTTAACGCAAAAAGTTTTCCTTTTTGGCACAGTAGTAACCTTGTGTGAAAATTTCATCCAAATCCGAGCAGTACTTTCCAAGTTATAGGCGTTGGAAAGATTAGCGGAAATCAGTGACATGTTTTTTTGTGATCCATCATCCAAAAAACATAATATCTCCAAAGTTTTTGCGATTACAATACTATCTCGCCAGTAGGCGTGGGAAGTAGACATTACGAACCGAAAATACGCAGAAATTCTAATGTCTAATTCGCCTAATTCATGCGATTCAGTCTTGTGTATCCCTTATTCTGTTCAAAGTTATTTAACACGCTGCTTCTATCTATCCAACTACAGAGTGCCAATCATGGACAGCTGTTTCGTGCTTTTTGACTACTCATCAACATGGTCAATGGTCTCTGGGACAACGGACGAAAGCATAGCAACCATCGTCTATCCGAGGTATGGGATCTACCGATGTAAGATAGCACAAAGCGCCATCTATTACCAGAACCACATTGCGAGTTTATAGCAGCTCTCGGTTGGAACTTTAAGGATCTCGGTTCGCGTTTGACAGCCCATTCACCACTGTGACCGCTAGGGGCTGACGGTTCTGCTGATGTGTTGCCAAATAATTTTCAACTTTTCAACAAATGTTTGCTTATTCGACACATTATCCTTTTCTCATTTCCTGCTCTACTTAATTTTGCTTGTTCTTTTTCTTCTCTCCTTTTATTTTTTTTGGATCTCCTGCCATTCAGCTTCAATCATAAAGTAATTTTTTCAATGTCAGTGCAAGCTGTTTCTGCGCGAACTTGGTATTTTTTTGGACACGAGAGTTACCTTTATCGATGATATATTTGTTTACAGAGTTTTTTGTCCAAGCATTTTTTCATTTTTGGAGCATGTTGAGTATCCTGTCTCGTCACAGCTCAGTGTCAATTTTTATTAAGTGATACTATGTTTTGTTAAGACAGATCTAGCTCTAGAAGTAACCTGGGCACTTATTATAACTATTTTTGGGATGGCGACCAAGGAACAAAGCCGCCCACTTCTTTCCAGTGCGATCATTCCTGGAAGCATTGCTTTAAGACGATCTGAGAGAATCTCATTTTGCTTTACTTATAATACAACTAACCAAATAATAAGTATAGCTGTTATCAAACCAATTTTTAAAAAAGGTAATCCAGAGCAATTAGAAAATTATAGGCCAATCAATATTTTAACGGGTTTTTCAAAATTATTTGAGTTAGGCATCAGTAAGAGATTATTAGAATTTATGAATGACTGTAATTTATTTAATACTCATCAGCATGGATACCTACATTGGAGATCAACAGATACTGCGATCTTTCAATGTGTTCGAACAGTACTTAAGCAATTAGAGGAGAGAAACTTAGCGGTTGGTTTCTAAATGGACTTGTCCAAAGCTTATGATTGTATTGACAGAGACATATTGTTATTAAAGCTACAAAGATATGGTGTAAGAGGAACTGCGCTAGAATTGTTCAAGTCATACCTCTATAATAGACAACAGAGGGTTGAAATTGTTAAAGGAGGTCAAACTTACAAGTCAAACATTGAATTGACTTCAACCGACATAGCATAAGGTAGTTACTTGGGCCCATTTTGTATGTAGTTTTTTTAAACGATCTCTGTTTTGTTTCTAGTGGTGATGAGTACAAGCATACAATTACCTCCTCTGCTGATGACACAAATTTAGTGTTGAGTGGGACAACTGCTAATGGGAATCTCTTATTCAGAAGTGTGAATACATGGTTTTCTGAGAACAAACTAGTGCTGAATAAATCCAAAACTGATGCAACATTATTTAGAACTAAGCAGAGTCAAGTCGTTGAGCCACAATCATTAACTGCAGTTGAGGGAAAGTGTAAAATTCTTAGATATCTATATTGATGAATTTCTGGATTGGAGAACATATTTATTCGAACTGCTGAAGAGGCGCAATTCCATTTGCTATGGTTTTAGGGTAATATCAAGAAATCTAAATAATACGAGTATGAAAATAATAGGTTTACTCAAAAAAATTTTGTTGTTCAAAAAAGAGCAGTACGTCTGCTAAAGGGACTAAATTTCAATGAAACTTGCTGGGGGGGTTTTTAAAACTGAAAAAATCATGACTATGTATGCCAAAATAAAAACTTATTTGAGCTTGAGGTGCAAACTGTTCATGATACTCGAACAGTCTATGTCAATTATCCAATGACATAGATTATCCTCCACAGAAAAAAGCCCTATTCACATGTGTTTAAAATTAAAAACATAAACAGTTTACATAAATTTGAAAAGACTATTAAGCAATTGCTAGTACAGTCAGAGCCTCATACAATAGATGAGTTCTACTGGAGTTGTAATAGCTTCAGATTGTAGCTGTTTTAAGATAAGTAAACATGTATCACACAAAAGTCTCATATAAACTACTATAGTTACGGTGATAGTGACGCAATGTTTCATTTTGTAGTCGCTATACAATTTCTGTAATGTCATTGTAACAATTTGAAATATAGATTATTATTATTGTTATTCCAAACCAATTCGCTTTCCTACTCCTTTGCAAGCGCAGTAGGTTGTCCCTTTTATCTTGCCAGGGAAATTTTTCTGTTTAGTTTTCAGCTTTGAGGAACCTCATAAGGTTTTTTTCACTGCTTCCTATGCTGTGAATGGCTTCGAACAAGTTCTCATCAATGTACTTAGATTTGACGTTTCCTTTTGTTTCATTTGGTATCCATCTAGAAAAAAATGGGCAAGGCTATCATCTGAATAGAAGTCTGGAAAAATCAAAATACGAGGCGTTTAGTTATCTACTGGATTTCGCATCTGTTGGTGGCCGCATCAAAAATGTACATGTACACATTACACTCTTGCTGATCATATGCTTAAAAACCGTAAACATTCCAGATTCAAACCTGATGATGTTATTAAAAAAATAAAATAAATGAAATAAAAACAAATGGTTTCTCCAGTAACCCGTTCACTACTCTTCACTGGATCCAGTGCCCAAACACCGATTATAATTAAATTAACCATTATATTGCGCTCTTACTGGAGATTTTTCATCACAAGAGACTCTATGAAAGTACTCGTAACCTATAAAAGGTCATGAACATATCAATGAATATTTCTATCATGTTAGGAAAATGTGGCTTCCCCACACATTTGCAGAGCCTAATTCGTACACCGTTCACTTTGAATTGTCATAACCGACTAAATTTGAGAACGATATTTACTAAATCTCCTGGTAGTGCTTAGCGGACACTACAGTAACTATTTAAATTTTTTGCGAAGTGTGTAATTACTGGTGCCACTACCCTATTTATTGGTATGTCTTCTATTTACTTCTCTTATCACCGGTACTAAGTGAAGGACAGTCCAACCTAGCATCTTGTGGCAGCGATGATAACATCCCGCGTACTGCCTGACTGCAGCGGTACCGCCGCGTCGTGGCTTCGACGCGACCGCACAGCATGTGTTCTGACGGCGGCGGCCGCGTGGAAGCATTCCCGGTATTCGTATGGGACACAGATTCATATCAACACTGCCCTGTCAACACTACCAAATTCCATACCTTGGACCGCGATGGAGAAAAAACCAGCTACCGCTTCGATTTATGATTCGGCCGATGGAAATTTGTTGGTTGCGGGCAGCACCGATCGTTCACTCTCATGGCTCATACTCCATCATCAAAAATAAATAAAGAGATTAGATCTGTAATGCCGCTGCCGCCGTTGCTGCTTTAATGCATCCGTGTTGAGTTTGATTTATGGATCGACCAAACCGAATGATTATATTATTTTTGACTTATGAAATACAGAAAGAATGTTTTAGGGGTCCGCAGAAATAGGGTCCTACAAGGAATGGTGGAAATGTTTTTATCTTCACTCGACTGGCGAGAAAGTATTGTAATCGCGAAAAATTTCAAAGATATGTTATACGACCACCACGAAAAACCATATCAATCATTTCTGACGGTCTGGCTGTCCGCTAATCATTGAGCCGTCTTTAACATGCATAGTACCTCTCGGATTTTGATGACATTTTAACACGAAGTTGCTACTATGCCAAGGAGGAAAAAACTATGTTGTTTTCGAAAATCGGTCTTGTGGCAACGTAACTAGGGGCGAAAAATGAATAAAAAATCGCCCCAGTTTCGTTTTCTTTACGTTTTCAGTAACAATTTTATAGTGCTGGCAAATTGGGGGCTGGGACAATTACATACTTCCATAATATTCACGTCTGTGACTCCAGCAACACCAACTACTCAAGAAGACGCGTTATCCTTTACCTGCGGAAAATCCGGTCCGAGCTCAGCAACGCCGACGATGCCCTAGCGGTACCGTTATCGAGGTCATAGACGACGCGTGACAATGTAATACCAAGGCATACGAAAGTTATCGAAATATTATGCAGATCACCGAAGTCTTGATCTGGCACGAGCACATCGCGTCAGCTCCTATAAAAAAACTAGGCTATTTGTTTAGGGCTAAGAAGATAAGACCTAGTCTCGAGTGTTGCTCACATGTTCGGTGTGCTGCCACTCCAACTAGATTTTCCATTCTTGGTGCTGCTCAGAGGAGAGCTGTTCGGCTGATCGAAGACTCTTCTCTAACGGACAGTCTCGGGACCGATACGACCTCTGGCATTTAGGCTTCTGCCTGCGCAGCTGCTTCTGGGTAAACAAATGTATAGACAGACCTAATTATTTGAAAAATAATTACATTCCTTGTATAACGTTACCAGCTACATGCTTTCCATGGCCAACGAATAGTGAAACTACCAAAACGTACAAAATTTGACTCGGATACTATGTATACTAATAGTCCATAATTTTTTTAAATCAACAATATTGCTTTTCTACCGTTATTCTCTACGGTTTTGTTTGAGGTTCAAGGATTTTAATAGCCATTGATGCCATTTTTTTAGAGCTTATAATAACTAAGACATCAGTATAATAAATCTTCAAGTTAGTGTTTATCTAGTATAGATAATTAATATCCAATGTACTCCGGATCACAATGAGCCAAGACAATTGCCGCACGCATTTTTCCAAATCTACTCGGCACAATAGGCGTATACCTACTTCCCAGCGAGCTCTTAAAATATGTTACCCTTTTTTGTTCGTTCAGCCACAAAACGCGTCTTAATAATAGTTATACTGTAAATGATAACTCGTGACGCCCACTCTATTGTTCACAACCTCTCATTATATTATACTACGGCATCAATAGAGCTCTGCGGACAAAAATTGTTGCATAAAAAATTGTGATGAAACGTTTGGGGATGGCGGGAGGTAGTAAATTGAGCAAACAGTGTTGCTATTTGACTTCTTTTACTTCCCACACAAGCTGACGCGGAAGTATTGTAATCGAGAAAAATTTCAAAATTGAGATATTATCATGAAAAACCATCTCACTCACTTCAGTAGTCATGTCTGTCTGTCTGTCCGCTAATCCTTGACCCCTCTTTATCTTGAAAAGTACTGCTCGGATTTACTACTACGCTAAGGACGAAAAGGTTTTGTAGCTTCGGAGCGAAGGGCAAAAAATGAAAATAGTAAAAATCGCTGAAACTTTTCTGTGGCGCTTCAGAGGTTCCTGATACTCTTCGGACCAATGTTTGTAGGGGTTAAAAAGTGGAGGTTGGGGGTGGTGGGGGGTGGGGGAGAGTATATCTCAATTCCTTATGGGTACATACATCATAGTATAAATATAGGCAAAAGTCGCCAATATTTCACCTTTAGGTTAGGATAGCTTGGAAACTTAACTAAGGCCAATTAATTGGTTTGGACCACAGGTTGAGATTCGACGCATTAAACCTCCGAGAAAGTATACATTTTCTTGTGCTACAATCTTATTAATATATATTTTTTTTATTTATACTGCGGTAGTGGAACGTATTATTATGGAACATATGGGTTAATAAATTAGGTAATATATTGTCATTGTTTTAAATATATTGCGTTTTATTTGGCTCTATGTACAATTCATTAGCTGACGTCATAGCTGCTAGATTCTTTTCTTTTGTGTGGATGGTCAAGCAAAACAAGTCCGACTAACATCTCGGAGATTTGTGGCTCAATTTGTCTTAAGCCACTGGCGCTCTTAACCCCCCCTACTCTCCGCTTTATCGAGGTAGGCCCTAAATTTGCACGCCACTAGACACATATTTTGCATTGACTGACCATTCCATTTTACTTCTCGTGTTTTATTAATTAAAAAAAGAAGAGGAAACATGACACGATTTCGTTTTCTTTTATTAATAAACGAATTTAAAACAATAATCACAATATGTTAGCTAATTAATTAACACAAATGTACCATAATGATATTTTCTACTACTTCAGTGTAAATTAAAAGAAAATATATTAAAAATTGTAGCACAAGAAAATGATTAAATTGTGATAAGTCTGCTAAACGTTTACCATAGTATACGAACGCAATAGGTTGAACAAATATTAAAGCGCCAGAAGAATAATGGACATAAATGATTTACAAAAAAAATCAATTAGGCCGGACAAGTACCTTGAAGTTTTATTACTAATTAAAAAATAGTTATTTATTATACAAGGGAAAAAAGTACTAGATTTTAGCTTGATGTTGTAAAAACCCACAATTTTTTCTCTGTGACGGGAAAAAAGACGATTCAATATTGAAAAATTATATTATCAGAATACTTAAGTGAGAAAATTATCGATGAGAAATTTGAATTTTAGAAATTAGTAAGCTATGTTGTACTTATAGCGACAATTAGACCTGCGTGCTAAGGAGACTTTTAAAGCAATCAAATAGCTGTCAATTTAATTTTGTGACTTGATTTACAATTTGTGAACTTAATGGTTGTTTAGAAGTTATTTTTAATACTATAAGGTAGAAAATGTCTGATTCCGAGTTTTCTTTGACTCCACCGGAATTAGTAGCCAAGTAGCGACATAAAAATTATTGCCAGCTAAATCGCGGAAAATTTACGTAAACGCGTATTTGATATCCGGGAAAAAAGTACCCACTTTTTTCCTTATGTGCCTGTGTAATTAGGAATAGTCTGTCCCTAGTGATTCAAATTGTTTTTGCGGACACCATCATGTGCGGCTTCAAAATTCCGTTACGCGTCCTAGAGATTGACATCTTACATTAGAACATTTATAATTTTTCCTAATCGTGGATCGAATCGATTGCCGTCATCTCAAGACCGGATGTAGATTTGACGCTGGAGATTAACATCCTGTGGTATGTGTGTGAGTGTATCATCATCACATCGCATCAGCCACGAAAGAGCAGAACAAGCAAAGATGTTCTGTGCCGATAACGGCCGATGATAAGCGATCGAATGCGTGCAGCCGGGACGGAACGACCTTTTTTCTATTTAATTAAGCCAATCAACCGTCTCATATACGGCAACCCCCCGTATTGATGCCCAATCGGAGATTGAGATAAAGCGTAAATGCCAGAGACGTACGGATTTTAGAACGCTGGCGGGATTGTGTTCTGTAGTCATATTGGTACGTGTCTTTCTTTCAATTTGTTGAATATTTATTTATTTATTTACTAGTATATACACTATCCGAACGGTTCATTGCACCATTTAACGGTTATGGACACAGGTATCAATTTTAAGACAAAATTGTTCTAAAATAAATTAAAATTGCCAAATGACTCAACCTACTGGTATGTAAAATCTTTTTAAGCTACGCAAATTACAAAAGAACAGATCTACAACGTTTCTTGCACGTTCATAG